TAGCAAGTCACTTTCCCTCCCTAGCCTCAGCTTCCCCACCTGTAAATTTGGGGTGATGCTTTGCCCTGCCCACTTCAGAGGGCTACTGGGTAGAAAGCATTGTAGAAGTGTGAGCTGCTGCTGCTGCCATCATTGTGGTTAGCAAGTCACTTTCTAGCCTCAGTTTCCTCATCTGTAAAATGAAGGGGATTAAACTAGAAGACCATTGATACTGTCATCTTACCCACCAGAACTATTGCAAAGATGACATGAGATAATGCTTATGAAAACAGCTTATAAATTATAAAATGTTATTTAAATACAAGATCTGATTGTTATCATTTTGGTGTGGAGTGGGGAAAAAAGTCTCATCATTGCCCTGTCAGTCCTGAAGATATGTTTCTAACACTTAACTTGTCATGTTCTTTAAGTGAGTCTCAACAGCCCAAATCAAACATTTTTTGTTTATTTGTTTGAAAGCATCTGTTTTGCCAGCCAGCATTTCCCAAAATGGAAGCCTGTGATTCCTCCATTAACACTTAAAGAAATGTTTATCTTAGCACTATTTAAGATGCCTGAATATTCGGAAAATACTGTGTCCACATCTCTGATTTTCAGTGAGAGAGTGCTGCCTTTTTGGAAAATCATAAGTTTTGAGAGGTTAAGATGGAACCAACCTTTTTCAAAACACTTTTTTTTGACAGTTAACATGACCCTATATGGAAAAAAAATCAAACCTCCCTGAATTAAAAAAAAATCTGTTGGCATTTATTGAGTATTGCCTACTATGCTCTAGTCAATAAGCAAGTGTTTATTGAACCTGTGGAGTGAACAGATCTGATTTCTACCAGCAGGATTTGTGATGGAAAGAAACTTTCCTGACTACACCTACTCCTACTAATCTCTCTTCTATTCCTGTCCTCACCAATCCCCCATTTCCCATTTACCAATCTGCCCCCACCTTGGTCTCTAAGCAGAACCCTTTGTAAAGGCCGAAACTTGCTTGGTTTCCAAAAATCCAGCAGAAATGTGGCACTGAGCCAAGGGGCCAAAAGCTGCCTCTTTTCTCTCTGCCAGTGGCTGTCTTGTCCTCCGTCCTCCTCTCCTAATGTTGTCTGAGAATTGGCTCATTCTGATGCAGCTTCGGAGAAAAATGCTAAGACTGGGATTTCTCCCTTGAGAAACAGGTGCAACTTAGGACAGGGGGGCAGACAGCCTGGGAGACGGAGGAGGATGCAGATCAGAGAGATTGGTATTGGCACCATACCTCCTTCCTTGACTTTCAAAAGGTGAGAATGTTCAAACAAGGGTAGAGGCAGGACCCTCTTCTTGGGGAAGAAATTTTTTGTCCTGCCCTAAGATCAGCGAGCCCCTCCACATCCCAGCTCAACATAATTAAGAATGAATGAAGACCTTCAGTGGGTAGTCATAGGGTTCAGAGCTGAAAGGGACCTCAGAGAACATCTAAGTCCATCCTCCTTATTTTACTGCCCTAAAAGGTTAAATGACTAGTCTAAGGTCACCCAGGCAGTAAATGAGCAGAACTGGAAGGAAAGTTAGAAGACATGTAAAGCCAATCCAAACCTAAGCAGGAATTCCTTCTACCACATCTTGGACTGATGGTCTTCCAGCCTCTTTTTGAAGAGCTTTACTATTGGGGAGCTTACTGCTCCTCAAGGCAGAATCCCCAATCCTTCAAACTTCACCATTTCTGATGAGGGAACCATCTTTTTCATTATCACTCAGGTTCATAAGCTCAAAGTGTTTCTCATCTCTTCACTCTCCCTCAGCCCTCACATTGAATCATTTGCCATATCTTGAGTCTACCTACACAACCCGTCTCATGAATCCTTCCTTCTCTCCATTCACACAGCCGTGGCCCTTGATTAGGCCTTTATCGTGTCTAACCCAGAATTTGTCAATGGTCTCCTAATTCATCTCCCATCTTTAGGCTCTTTCTTCTCCAATCCATTTCTACACATATGGTGTCAGACTTAGAAAGAAATAGGGGCCACTAAACCATTCATAAGTATCCCTAGGGGCCAAATATTAACTTAGAAAAGTACACGTTGACATTATCTATGTTTTATTGTATTTTTATTTATTTTGTTAAATATTTCCCAATTGCATTTTATCCTGGTTCAGGCCACACTCAAAAGTGCTCTGGACCTCATGTAGCTTCTGTTCTACATTACTGCCAAAATAATCTTAAAGCATAACTCTTGTGCTCAAAAATCTTCAGTGGCTCCCTATCGCCTCTAAAACAAAATACAAATTTCTCAGCTTGGCATTTAAAACTAAATCTAACTCCAGCCTTTCCAGACTCACTTCTTGTTACTCCCCTTTGCATTCTGAAGCAACTGGCCAATTTTTTCTCTCAACTCAGTATTCCAACTCTTGCCTCCATACAGCACAGGCTGGATGCCATGCCTGGACCATGGTTCCACTTCACTTCTTTTAGAATCTTCAGATTTGAAGAAATCAAAACTTGACTTTAAAACTACCTCCTACGTGAAGCCTTCCCTGATTCATCTAGTTGTTAGTACTTTATTCCTTAGATTATGTCATTTTTACTTTTGTTATTAAGTCATTTTCAGTCACATCTGACTCTCTGTGACCCCATTTGAAGTTTTCTTGGCAAAGATACTGGAATTGTTCGCCATTTCCTTCTCCAGCTCATTTTATAAATGAGGAAACGGAGGCAAACAGGGTGAAGTGATTTGCCCAGGGTCATTCAGTTAGGAAGTGTCTGAGGCTGGAGTTGAACTAGTTTTTCCTGACTCCAGGCCTGGCACTTTATCTACTTTACCACCTGACTGCCTGTCATTTTTACTTAGCTATATTCTTTCTTCTGGCCCTAGTAGAATAGCTCCTTGATAGGAGGAATGCTTTCATTTTTGTTTTTATTTCGTCAGTACACACCACCATGCTTTATACATAGTAGGCTCTTTAGTGCTTACTGGATCTTCCTGATTTCAAGCCCAATGATCTATTCATTATGCCGCCTGACTATAAGACCTTCCCTGTTCTCAACATATGATATTCCATACTCTGGAAGGTCCTAGGCTTCAACAGACATGCTGTTTCCAGTTCTACCGGCCTACGTTGGCCAAGAGACCTTTTTCTGATGATGAAAGGTCTCAAATTCTGGCTGTGCTACTTACTAGCTGTATTACATTGAGCAAGTCCCTTTTCCTATCTAGATCTGTCCCTTCCTCTGTCTGGGTCTCAGTTTCCTTTCCTGCAAGATAAAAGGTTTGGAATAGATTATGGTCCCTTCCAGCCCTAAATCTACAGTCTTATGATATGTACCTTCTTGAAAAAAGGACCTTTGCTCCCCTTCTGACCCCTCCCTTCCCCCTTCCAAAAAAAAAAAAAAAGCCAAGGAAGATGGATTTGTGAGGGAAGGCAGAACAAAGGGAATTTAGTATCAATTAGGAGGATCTCGGGCCAAGCTGCAGCCAGCCCAGTGTGGCGGTCTCTGTTTTATGGGCTCCGGGTTTTATTACCCTTCATCTCTCCTCCAGAACATAATTAATTCAACAGAAAAACTGTAAATATGGCTAGCTTGGATGATAAAATCTGGGATAATTGTAGCTGTGGAAAGTAAAATACAACCAAAAGGTCCCAACAAACCTAATTAGTCCCCTAATTCCCTGCTGAGGGTGGGATAGTCCTAGTACAACACCAGGCAGGGCCTAGAGATAGGAGATCGGGCGGACTGGAGGGAGGGAGAAGCTCTAGTCTGGTCAAGTACCCTTAAGGCCCCATCTCCCTCACCACTCAGGCACCATACCTTCTGGTGAGAGAAGAGACATGATAGCAACATGGCCTGCAGGTTCTTTTGTCTAATGTTTCCTGTCCATTTCATGTCAGAGTTGGACAAGACCACAGAACACAGAATGTGAGATTTGGGAGGGACCTTGAAACACAGAAAGTCAGAACTTGGAGGGCCTTTAGAATATAGATTATCAGAACTGAAAGGGAACTTAGAACACAGAATGTCAGAGCTGAAAGTGACTTCAGAACAGAAAATGTCAGAGCTGGGAGGGGAAAATGTCTGAGCTGAAAGGAATCTTAGAACATAAAGTACTGAATTTTGAAGTTAGGAGAGATGATCTTAGAACACAGAATACCAAAGCTAGAAGAAAACCTCTGAGAACAAATCAAGCCACCTCATTTTACAGAGCAGGAAAATGAAACTCACAAAGGAAAAGAGATTTTAGACAAGGATGAACAGACAAGTCCCTGTTTGCTGATCCTTAGTCCAAAGCTTTTCCCTCTACTCCATTAGGCCTCTCTCATCTACCAGCTCTATTCTTTTTTCTCCCTTCTTCCTAGAAAAGAAGCATTTCTTTCTGGGCTAAAAAGAGCTGTTGGAGGATTTTAGGAGTAAATCCAACCCCTTGGAAACTATGTGTCTATGAAGCATCCAGTCTACAAGGAACATAGTTTTGAATATTATTGTCCTCATTTTACAAATAAGAAAATTGAGACCCAGAGAGGAGAAATGATTTGCCCTAAGTCACTCATTTGCTAGAAGCAGATCCTGAGTTCAAATCCTTCCTGACACTTTACTAGCGGGGCAAGTAACTTAACCAATTTCAGCCTCAGTTTCCTCATCTATAAAATGGGAATAATAGTAGCAATCAATCAACATTTATTAAGCACCTACTATGTGCCAGGCATTGAGCTAAGCACTGCTTCTACCTCCCAGGGTTGTTGTAAAGATCATATATATAAAGTGCTATATAAATGTTAGCTATTATTATTTATTTAGATTTAAGGAAGGGAATACACATTTTTATATAGCACCTACTATGTGCTAAGTGCTTTGCCTTACTCTGCTGCCAGTCAAGTCTCCTGACTCCAGGGTCAGGGTTTCTTCTACTGACCTTTGCTACCTCCCTTGTCTGTCCCCAGTACCTGGGGAGGAGGGGAGGAGGGGAGGACGGGTCCAGCTTAGAAGAGTGTTTAAATAATTTTAATTTAAACTGATTTCCTTCTCTCCCTTTTTAAAGGACCTTTATGCATTAGACTTAGAACCCTACCGCTACTCCGGAGTGAATCTAACAGGGTTCCGGATCCTCAATGTGGAGAACCCTCATGTCTCAGCCATTGTGGAGAAGTGGTCCATGGAGAGGCTGCAGGCGGCACCCCGGGCTGAGTCTGGCCTGCTGGATGGGGTGATGATGGTGCGCAGGGCAGGGGAGGGGAGGGTAGCTAGCAGGGGAACTAGGGAGGGGTTCCTCCTGGCCCATCCACAATTATGGTGACCAGGCAGGAACAGCCTTGGTGAAGTTTGAGTCACCCTAGGGGAAAAAATCACTACTGAGTGGGAGAGGAGTCTGAACCATATTTGTGCCAGTCATCTATACAGCTGGCACAAAGACTTCAGCCCTGGAAAGCTAAGTGGGATCCTATTCTCTTCCTGACAGTACTAGTCTGGCAGGAAGAAGATAAAAGGTGGGTGTCTCTTTCATGATGATTTATCTGTTGGGGGGCAGGGAGAAGGATGAGCAGATAACCAAATAAATTAGGGCACCTGTCATCATGTGTGCATATTGGAGAGTGTATATATGTGTTTTAATGTGTACATGTGTGAACCAGTAGGCACATGTCTAAACATGTTTTGTGTGTACAAGTGTGCATAATTGTACATGTGTGTATAGAATAACATGACATCTTTGTCATGATGTGTGCAAATATGTGCATGTGTGTGTGTTTCAGAGAATGAAAAGATTTAGAACCAAGAGGCCCCTTTCAGACTAGTTAGTCTCACTCCTTCATTTACAAAGTAGAATACTGTTCTTTTCTGCCACACCATGTATTATACTAATAAGCAGCATCTTGGGTGTTTTTTCTGTATACATGTACACATACGGAGATTCAGTATGTTATAGCAGAGAATGCTGAAATTGAAGCCAGAAAGACCTGATTTCAAATCCTGTCTTTAATGTTTACCAGCTGTGTGGACATGAACTTAACATCTCTAAGCCTCACTCAGTAAAATGGGGATAATAATAGTGTAATAATTATAATGCAGAGGTATTAAATAAGATAATGGATGTAGAGTGCTATGTATGCACATTATATATTATGACTGTTATGTGTGTGCAGAAATAGGCGTGTTTGTATATGTGCATGAAAGTATGTATGCAGGTACATGTCTAAGTCTGTGCATGTATACATATCAGTGTGCTTGCATGTGTCTGCATGGAGATGTGAGTTTGTCTGGCTGCCTATGTGTTCATGTGAATGTACCATATGAGCACCTTTATATCCCTTATGTTGGATGATAAAGTTTTTCCCTGAAAGACTGAGCTAACAGTCCCATTAGACCAGCCTGAACTTCTCCAGGAGGCAGTAGGCCTAGGCAGCCCTGTCCCATATTTAGTAGTTGGGGTAAGATAGACAAGGACCTAGAGGCTACCTTGGGCCCTGGTACTGGGAAAGTGCCATGTCATGCCTGCTGCCTCAGTTTTCTCTGTCTGTGAGCTGGAGAGGAGATCTCCATTGGCCTGGAACAGTTCCAGAGTAGTCACTCCATGCAACAGTGGCATGGATAAATGAATCCTCCTTTCTCCAGGCTCCTCTTGCAGCCCCAGGGCTCAGTATAGGAGGGTGACTGGGGAGTGAGAGGGGTTAGTAGGTAGGATAAAGAGAAGGGAGGACCCCGTTGGCTGTAGGGAAGCTGTCCTCAGCTCGACTGCCCTCCCTGCCCTTCCATTCCAGACAGACGCGGCCTTGCTTTATGATGCTGTCCATATCGTCTCTGTGTGCTACCAGCGGGCTCCGCAGATGACTGTCAATTCACTGCAGTGTCACCGCCATAAAGCCTGGCGCTTTGGAGGTCGCTTCATGAATTTCATCAAAGAAGTGAGTGTTCTTTGTATGGACCAGTATGGAGGTGGGAAGCAAAGCCCTCAACCCAGGGTGGGAGGGATTGAAGAACAGGGAGGAGGGAAGAAGAAAGGGCACAAGTGTGGCCAGGGCCCTAGGCAAGAGTTACCGCAGCTTTGTGAGGCTGGTGGAACAAGCATTACCAGTCCCATTTTACTCACACAGGAGGAAACTGAGGTACAGAAGGGAGAAGGAACTTGCTCACAGTCACAGAGACAAAATCAGACCCTGAACCAATATGTTGTGTCCCCCAACTCAGTGCTCTTTCAAATATACTAGCATTTTGCTTTTATTGAAATTAGATAATGATGATGTCACGTTCCTGAAACCCTTGGGTAGCATGTGTCCAGACCGCCTACCTTCCAGCTACTACAGTGGTTAGAGTACTGGGCTTAGAGTAAGAAAGACTTGAGTTAAAATCTGGCTTCAGATACTTATTAGCTGTGTGACACTGATCAAGTCACTTAACCTATATTTGCCTTAGTTTCCCCAAATGAAAATAGGATAATAGAAAAAAATAGGATACACCTACCTCCCAGAGTTGTTTTAAGGATCCGATGAGACAGCAGTTTTAAAGTGCATAGCTCATAGTAGATGCTTAATTAAGGCTTGTTTATTTCCTTGCTTCTAAATGAAGGCCAAAGCATGGTGGTGCCTTGCTTCTAGAAAATGACCAATTAGTAGACCTAAGATCTGCCCAGCTGATAAGATCATAGAATGTCAGAATCCTAACTTTGAAGTTGAAAGAGACTTCACAGATCTCCTCAGTCCACCACAAATCATGAGTCCCTTTTAGGGTTTGCGCTTAAAGACCTCCAATGACAGAGAACTCTGCCCTCTAAAGCAACCTATTCCATGTTCAACAAGATTTTTGTTTTCCCTAAACTGAAATTTTTGTCCCCAATACTTTGACCCCAATGCTGTGACCCTGAGACATATGCTTTTATTTCTCTGCTCTGAGACCAAGGAGAAGTCTAATCCCTCTTCTCCATACCAGGTCTTCAAATACTTGAAAACTATCCCATATCTCCCCATCTTCCCTTTTCCAGGATAACTATTTCCCCAGGTCCTTCAACTGATCTTTGTATATCACAGACTTTGAATCCTATACTATATAAGCCACCTTTCCCTAGAAAACCACCATATTGACAACACCCTGCCTAAAATGTGTCTTTAGGACTGAACACAATACTCCAAATGGAGTTTGCCCAGGTAGAACCCTCCTCCTCATTTTGGTGCCTGGGCTTCTACCAATGTAACAGCCACATAAGTGGTTCCCAACGCAGACAATATGATTTCTCCCATTGAGATTTCAGTGTACTCTGAATCTCAGGTTCCTGTCTCATGAACAGTTGACTTCCCCAAACTGGTACAGCTAACTAAAGGTATTTCATTGACTCCAAAACTGATTTTTCCCAAAACAATTTCCCAGCATGTACCTCTGGACCCAGTCAAGACCCTCAGTGGGAGCCTGGGTCAGAAGATAAAATTTGAAAGGGCCTCCTGTTGCTTGTTCTTGCTCTATCTGTTCTCTCCATCTCTTTTTCTGCCAGCCCTGGAGAAAGGATGGACAGTATCAGTGCATGGGCAAGGTAGGCAGGAGGATCCCCAGGGCTAAATAATTGACAGCTGTCAGCTGCCTGCAAACAGTTATTTACCTGAATGCAGGAAATAGCTTTAGGGTTGTGCCATGGACGCAGGGGTCCCCAGAATGGAATCTAGGGATAGAGAGGAAGGAAACAAGGATTTGTTAAGTGCCTACTATGTGCCAGACACTGTTTCAAGTTCTTTACAAATATCTCATTTGTTCCTCAGAACCACCCTGAGAGGTAGGGGCTATTATTAGTCTCACTTTAATGTTGAGGAAACAGACAAATAGAAGTTCAGTGACTTAACTAGCATCACATGGCTAGCAGGTGTTGGAGGCCGGATTTTAATGGAATCTTCTGGATTCCAGAACCAGTCAGTGCTTTATTCACTGCACCTCCTAGGTTCTATGGGAGTGTGACGTACAGTAAGTGTACAGGCCCAGATGGTCATCTAACCCCGATGGGAATCAGAAGCCTAAACAGGACAAATAATTCAAAGCACTGAAGAGCTTACCCAACTAGTCTAGCTACCTCTGTGATCATCCATCCTTTTATGGCCCTAGGGAAACTGGCCTGCCATAGGTGGGAAGGGAGGACCTTCCATCTTTGGAAAAATGCCTGGGGCCTTCCTCGTTCCTTGCATACTTCTCTGTCAGGAAGTTCTTTCTAAGGTCCAATTTTTATTCCTCTTGCTGTTTCATCATTAGAGTTTCTCATGGGCCTTAGCATCTTCAGCTTGGTTGGACCTGACAGAGCTTGGCACAGCCTTTGAGTGCCCAGGATCACCTCCATGCCCTCATGGAACTTCAGAAGAATACCTTAGTGGAAAGGATTGATAATTCACTTCCTAAATAAGGTATTCACAGTTGGACACAATACTCCAAATGTGGCTTGACCTGGGCAGAGGACAATGAGATAGTTACCTCTTCCACTCTGGGCACTAGGCTTCTCCTACTGTCCCTTAGGATTGTTTGACTTCCAGGTCATGCTGCTGACTCCCATATTGCTTGTCAATCAGCCAATAAACATTTATTAAGCATCAACTGTGTCCAGGTACTATGCTTTATGCTAGGCATACAAAAAAGGGCAAAAAAATGATCCCTGCTGTCAAGGAGCTTCCAGTCTGATGAGGGAGACAATAAACAAAAAAATATGAATAATCAAGATATAAACAAAATGAGTTGGAGATAATCAACAGAGGAAAGGCACTAGTATCGTAAGGGAGTGGGAATGACTTCCAGGAGAAGGTGGGATTTTACCAGGCACTTGAAGAAAGCCAGGGAAGTTGGGAGAGAGAGATGAGCAGGGAGAGAATTTCAGCCATAGTGGACAGCCAGAGAAAATGTCCAATTTTCTGGCTGGAGAAGGAGAAAGGAGGCCAGTTTCACTGGACTATCCGTGTGAGGGTGAATAAGCTATAAGAAGACCAAAATGAGTCAGATTATGAAGGGCTTTGAATGCCAAACAAAAGGTTTTATATTTGATCCTGGATGTGACAGGGAGCCACTAGAGTTTATCAAATGGGGTTGGGGGGGGTGGTATGTGTGTAAGATGATGACTGTGATTTAGAAAGGTCACTATGACAGCTGAGTGGAGGGTAGTCTAAAGTGGAAAGAAACATAAAGCCAGGGAGACCAACCAGTAGGCTATCGGAAAAGTGCAGGCATAGGGTGATAAGAGGCTGACCCAGGGTGATGGCAGGGTCGTATGAGAGAAGCGACAACAGATGTCATGAAGGTAAAATTGATGGGACTTGGCAACCTATTGGATGGGGAATGGGTTAGTGAATAGTCTAGGATGACTCATGAATTGTAAGCCTGGGTAAATGGGAGGATGATGGTATCTTAGAAAGTACTAGGAAAGTTTGGAAGAAGGAAAGATTTTAGGGTAAAAATAATGAGTTTTGTTTGTACACATTGAATTTAAGATGTCTACAGAAGATTCAGTTCAAGATGACCGTTAGGCAGTTAGAGATGTTCGACTGGAGATCAATGGAGAAGTTAGGGTGGGATAAGTAGATTTGAGAATATGATCATTGAACCCATGCAAGCTGATGAGATCACCAAGTGAAAAAATATGGAGGGAGAAGAGAAGGCCAAGGACAGAACTCTAGGGAACACCCACCTGTAGCAAGCATGACCTCTGTTGCTGGATCAAAGGAGACTAAGAAGGAGAAATCAAGTAAGAGCAGGGCAGCTCCATGGCATAGTATATAGAGCACTGGGCCTGGAGTCAGGAGAACCTGAGTTTAAATCTGGCCTCAGACACTTACTAGCTGTGTGACCCTGGGCAACTCACTTAACCCTGTTTGCCTCAGTTTCCTCATCTGTAAAATGAGCTAGAAAAGGAAATGGCAAATCATTCCAGTATTTTTGCCAAGAAAACCCCAAATGGGGTCATGAAGGATATGACTAATCAACAGAACAACAAAAGGAAAAGAACTAGGATAGTCAACAAAAAGCCAAAATCTCCCCATAAGCTGGAGGCCACAGGGGACAGTAATGGGGTGAGTGAGAGCCCACTGGCCTGGAAGTGGAGAGACTAGGATTCTAGCTATGACTGATTCACTAGCTTTGTGGCTTTGGATGTTGGTCAACATTTCTAACGTTTAGTTTTCCCATCTTCAGAAATGAGAGGATGGAACTAGAGGACATCAGAGATCCCTTCCAACTTTTACTTTCTGTGATCTTTGCTGTGATTTGTGTTTGTGTAGTTTACTTTATGAACCCAAGCAGAAAACTTTACATTTATCCATGTTGAATGCCACTATTAGATTTGGCCCATTATTCTAGCCTGTCACAATCTTTTTGGATCCTAACTCTTTCATCCAGTGTTTTAACTATCCCTCCAACATTTGCCATTCCCATTTATGCCTGTATTGAAGTCATAATAAATAAAGGTTTTAAGAGACAAGGGTGGGCCAAGGACAGAGTCCTGAGGCCACTATTAGAAAGCTCCCTCCAAGGTGACATGGATTAATAGAGCAATACTCTTTGGGTCCAGTTATTCAAATGGTTATAAATCTTGCCATCTTGTCCACAAGGCTATTCTGAAACACTGTCAAGCGCCTTCCTAAAATCCAGGAATGCTATATCCTCAGCATTCCTCTGATCTACCCAACCTAATAACCCTGTCAAAAAAGGAAATTAGGTTAGTCTGGCATGACTTGTTCTCAATGAACCCATGCTGGCTTTGTTTTCTAAGTGCTCCTGAGTTTCCCTTGAGCAATCTCCTTTCCCAGCCACAGCCCCTCCTTCCTCTGGCAGAGCTGGGGAAGGTACTTTCTAACAGGTCAGCTACCTGCTCTAAGCAACAGAAAGTTCCAGTTGATCATGTGTGTATTATCTTGTGATGGTTCAAGGTTGAGGAGATAAGGGCAGGCAGGAA